GATTTTTCTCCAGAATTTCAGACTCCAGTGATTCTGATGAGCTTTCAGACTTGTTAACTGATTCGTCAATTGTTTCTCTGAAATTAACAAAAAGACATCGTATGGCTGAAGGGGATTGGGTAAGCCAGAAAGGAATTAGTGATGAACACAGGTAAAGATTACTTTTCATTGAATATATGAAACTGAACTAGAAATATGTCCATAGGACATGAATGCCCCGCCGAGGATATATCAGTAAAGCAACATGAAAATTTGTATGTGATTGAAATTTGATCAGAATATCCAGAATAGTGATGCAGCTGAATTGCTTGTTTGGAAAATATAGGTCAGATCCAGCATCCGAAGCAAGTCTGGTAGTGTCCATCCCTAGATGCATCATCCATGCAAGTTTGGTTCAGGTAGGGCTTATAGTTACTTGGGAATGAAAATGTAGGTCAGATCCAGCATCCGAAGCAAGTCAGGTAGTGTCCATCCCTAGATGCATCATCCGTGCAAGTTTGGTTCAGGTAGGGCTTATAGTTACTTGGGAATAAAATTGTAGGTCAGATCCAGCATCCGAAGCAAGTCTGGTAGTGTCCATCCCTAGATGCATCATCCATGCAAGTTTGGTTCAGGAAGGGCTTATAGTTACTGAGGAATGAAAATGTAGGTCAGATCCAGCATCCGAAGCAACTATGGTAGTGTCCATCCCTAGATGCATCATCCATGCAAGTTTGGTTCAGGTAGGGCTTATAGTTACTTGGGAATGAAAATGTAGGTCAGATCCAGCATCCGAAGCAAGTCAGGTAGTGTCCATCCCTAGATGCATCATCCATGCAAGTTTGGTTCAGGTAGGACTTATAGTTACTTGGGAATTAAAATATAGGTCAGATCCAGCATCCGAAGCAAGTCCGGTAGTGTCCATCCCTAGATGCATCATCCATGCAAGTTTGGTTCAGGTAGGGCTTATAGTTACTTGGGAATGAAAATATAGGTCAGATCCAGCATCCGAAGCAAGTCAGGTAGTGTCCATCCCTAGATGCATCATCCATGCAAGTTTGGTTCAGGTAGGACTTATAGTTACTTGGGAATAAAAATATAGGTCAGATCCAGCATCCGAAGCAAGTCTGGTAGTGTCCATCCCTAGATGCTTCATCCATGCAAGTTTGGTCCAAGTAGGGCTTATAGTTCCTTAGAAATGGACCTGCTCTAAAAACTTTAACCTGGTCACTCATCTGGAAAATGTAGGTCAGATCCAGCATCCGAAGCAAGTCAGGTAGTGTCCATCCCTAGATGCATCATCCATGCAAGTTTGGTCCAAGTAGGGCTTATAATTCCTTAGGAATGGACCTGTATCTAAAACTTTTACTTGGTCACTCGTCTTGAGTCAGTCAAATCCAGAATCCGAAGCAAGTCTGGTAGTGTTCATCCCTAGATGAACCATAGTTCTCATCAATATCTATCAGCATATGAAGTTTGATGAAAATATCTTGGATAGTTTCTTTGAAACTTAGCTTTGAACAGAGCTAAACGCAAAATGTGACGGAAGGACAGAAGGATGGAAGGACGGAAGACGGACATGACAAACACTATATGCCCCGGCCATATTCATAGTGGGGCATAAAAATTTATTGGAAAACAAATGATACTACTTTTATTTTAATTGTCTGAGTAAATGACGTTAGCACCTATTGGTCATGTTGGTAATTTCTATCATTTTATTTTATTGTAACTCCAAAAGTGATCCAGAAGATCTGTCATTAAACTCGTCCATGTTGACTCCTCCACAAGTTCCAACAACTGTGACTTTGTTACCTACTTTAGGATGTGAAAACAAAGCAAAGCAAGTGTCTGTATAAAACTACCAAAGACCTTCTTAAGCAAATGTAATTTTTTTACATGTTGATCAGGAGGACCAAATTCAGCATGATCAGCAGACAAGTGACATCAATAACAGTTCTCATACTTCAGTCTCCTGTAACAGGTGGGTAGTGACAAATCATGTTTGAATATGCTTTTTCTGTACTTTAGTAAACAGGCTATAAGATTGTGCTTTCAGTGTTATACATTTATTCATCATTTTGGTTTGTACTGTTGCAAACAGGTGCTACAAAACAAACATGCAAGCTTACATTATGTTATTTTCCTCTTCTATCTTGTGTATATCACTTGTATTTGGATCCATGATATTTAAGGATGTACAACACACCTACCCCCAAAAATTCCTGTCGTTTAATTTTCGTTATTTTTATATATTCAGTACATGACTATATTTACTGCATGTATGCATATTTTTGACAAAATCGTTCGAGTGGTTTTTGGACAGGAACTTCCGAAAGTTACCCCCCTTTAGTTGTTTACAAGGAAAGAAAATTTTTAATCAAAGAACTACTTAAACCTTGATTTTCAAAAAACCAGATTAGATATCAATGTCAAATTTTATTGACTTATTCCTTTAACCATTTAACACAAAAACATAGTCATCTTTTTGATATACATATCATCAAAACAATTTTTAAAGACCTTAAACTGGAAAACTATGAATTTCCTAAGCCTTGAAAATTGCGTATTTTTTAATTCAAAATTTTTTTGTGAAAAAAACCTGTTGTTTAATTTTGCTAAAAAACTTTCTTTAGGTAGCTGGTAGTAAAAATAATCTTCATAATTTTTTGTATAATTTTTGTTCGACCAGTTTTGATTTAATAGCGGAAAATTACCCCCTCCCCCTTTCTCAATAAATCACGTTCCCGCACGTCTTTCAGACTGGGGGTCGATCACTTTGTTATATGAATTTACTAACACAAATTAAAAAAAGTTAAATTGGAATATTGCTTTTGCTTCAAAAGTATATTAACTTACAAATTTAAAAGTTCTCATATGGAAAGCGTATTTAAATGTAGATTTTTTAGGCAATTTTTGAATACCCCTATCACCCCCACCCCTTCCTTTTTCGCGTCGCAGACCATTAGCGTTAGACGAAACGTCGTTTACAGTGCAAATATACCGGTATTTTGTCAAGAATCCCGGAGGTATGCATTAGTTTTTAAATTCATGATTACAGAATAAATATTGACTACTCTTTTTATATGTATCAGGAAAAAATAATGAAAGACTTTAGTGTTTAGTCCATATACGTTTGCGTTATGCATTCCATATCTGGAAGGTCCCACATGAAACCTGGATACGAATTCAAGTTTTGTTGAACTTGATGTTGATTTTCTTATTTTATTTATTATAAAAATGGTGTATGTTCAACTCTTCTGTGATATAAATGAAATAATTGTAGTTTCTTTCATGCCATTATTTCTGAATTCAAACGATACAGTATGTGGCCGTGGGGATACATCGAATTAGATCATCTAAGATGTACATACCGGGTACACCCCTCGTGATATTGTACACATTTTTTTCAGTGTCGTCGCTTCTAAAGTTAATATGAAAATTCCGTATTCGTCCACATTAACTTCAAAATATCAAACATTTAACTCTTCATCTATTTCAATTGATATCAAATCCCACATTGATGTTTTTCAAAATCTTATAGGCCTAGAGCTACGTTTGTTTTGAATCGAGGAAATGCGAACCGACATTGTTGACAGAAAGTTAGTGAGAAAGTTAAAGTTACGATTTGCTGCAATAGCTAGGATATTCATAAATGAAGGTTGCATTACAAGTGAACAGTTCTTTTCAATTCTATTACTTACATTGTGTATATGAGGACTACAGTATTCAATTGTCGGATTTATCAGGTCTTGCTGTAAATGTATCTGATTCTGTGGAAAACCGTGAAAAAAGGGAGGAAAATAAACATCTCCTATATTTTCAGAGTTGTTCCTCTTTGATCATTAAGGATCTGAGAACAACATCGATTTTACATTGTAAAAAGTTTTTTTGTTTCTTTATTGCTGTTTTATTTAATTAAAGAAGGAAAACAATATATATATATATATCATGTATGCACAAATTGTAATGAAGACCATTAATCGGAATGTTGTATAGCCAATTGTACATAATGAGAATTCCGTTAATGTAGAAAAAAAAATGCTAAGCTTTGATAATAAAATACAATTTATTGTATATGAAATGAAATAAACATTAAGGGATTGTATTTTATATCTTGCTTTTTACGGAGTTTAATCGGGTTAATGTAAAAAATACTTTTGATTGAATATGGTACGCACAATTACAGCCAAGACCCATATCCCAATTTTCTTTCATAATTGATATACATCGGGATCGTTTTACTCGTCGCTTTGACGCTCTATTTTTGACGTTAAATTGACGTCAAGTCAAACGTTTAATTGAAATTGCAAGAGTTATCTCCCTCAGTGTGTTGTACGTCTTTAAGTAATACATATGCATGCCACCATGGCCACATGCATATATATTACTTAAAAATCATGGATCCAAATACTCAAGGACCTGATCGTTTGCTTCTGCTTGTGTAATAATTGCAACATGCAATCATAGTCATAATTATTGCAAATTTCCATACCAGATATAAATGATGTATTCAATATGAGCCATATCATTTAGCATTTAAACTTCTTTTGAAAATCTTTTGACAAAGTTCTGATACAACATGTACATATTTGTTAAACAAAAAATATTTAACATTTTCTATCAGTGATTTGGATAACTTGGGCATGGAGTCATTGGTTCCAGGGGTTTCAGTAAAGGAACTATCGAAATGGCATTTTAAAACAAGAGATGTTTGTGAAACACTTATGCCCCCCCTTGGATATACATTATATGGTGCACAAGCCTTTATTATGGGCAGCATATATTATGGCCATTGTACATCGAAATAAAATTGACTTTCTGAACTTAAAATCAATAGGACCAGGTCATCTACTAGTAATATCTGATATGCATGAATCTATCAAGTATGAGGTGTCCATGTTAAAAACTTCTTGAATTGCACATATATACCATTATAGCTAGACCTCAAGATAGATTTGACTGTTACGTCCAAATTATTATCAATAACCATATTCAACCAACCTGCTATTTTATTTCATTTATTCAGATGATCTCTCTAGTTGCAGAGTGACATAATAGTGGTCAGAGTAATATGTTGGATGTGCATAGCAGGCATGGTATGTGTTTAGCAAGTCTAATGATAGATATACATGATCTAAACATGAACCCTGGATATGCGTTTTAACAGAATTGACATTGGTAAAGTTATATCTTCCCATAAGTTCTGATAGCTGAGCATAATTAGGTCCTATGGCATCCACATTAAAATCTCCTAGAATTACTGTTCTTTCACACACTTGCAATGAGCTGAGCAGATTGTTTAGATCATTTATGAAGACACTAAGAGACACTGATGGCGACCTGTACAAAAGAATTAGTATGAGCCCCTCAAATTTCATCTGTAATGTCTCAATATGTTGTCCTTCAAATACGGACTTTCTTTCACAACTGAGTGGATTGTGCCAGAAGCATGCTAGTCCATGTCGATGTTTTTCTGTGTCTTTTTGAACCATCTCATGATCATAATCCAAGAAGTTGACCACATCAGCTTGAATGTTGGAAATATGGGTCTCTGTGTACATCAGTAAATCTGAAGATTTGGTAATAGGGTCCTTGAGCACATCACTGAAATGTAAACGCAGTGACCTTGCATTTAGTAAACTTATTGTCCATACTCTGCATGTCAATGGGTTATGCATAAAAATGTATGGGCTTGGCAATCTAACATCATCTCTCAGTCTAATCATCTCACATTTGACTGAAGAATTTTGCAGGATTTTTTGGGGGTCAAAATCTAGAATTTGAAGGCCCTGAATCGATCTACATCTACTTAATGCAACATAAGCCTGACCACCAGAGAATCTCTTCTTAAAGGATACTACCAATTCATCCACAGATAATCCCTGAACTTTATGGATTGTGCAGGCAAATGCTAGTTTTAAAGGGAATTGTGTCCATGTAATTGAAAGTCCAGTTCTTTTAAAAGAGGTTGAGAATTGAACATCTATTCTTGAAATGGGGACTGCATCCTTTTGAAAAGTGTTTAAGTTGAGTGTTGATGTGTTTCTTGCTGTCACACCAATATTAGGTTTGTCAAACTTGACCAAGATTGCTTGAACATTTTCAAGGTTTGGGAGGAAGTCTATGACCTGCCCTTGAGCTCCATTGACAAGTCCATCTTGAACATCTATGTTTCGAATCACCATAACTCTTGCACCTACACAAAGATGTAATGTTTTCACTAAACCACCTGTGTGAGTTGGATTATCAGAAACAGTATAGTTTTCTAAAGAAGCTGGTCTGCGTTCTCTTCTTGTAAGCTGAATAACTGGCTGACCAAGTTCCCTCAATCTGTCATCGTTATGTTGATCTGTTTGAAGATTTGTGGCAAATATGTGTAATGCTTTCCTATTGTAGTCTTCATCTGAAGAATCAATGCATCTGTCCTGTAAAGTCTTGATGTCATCAGCTGTTTGTTCTCCTTGGCGTACCCTATTCAGTAAAGCTGCAAAGTTGCTGTCATCCTTTTGCCGCATAATTTGACAGAGTTCCATCAGATGGAAATGTGACTGCCACACAGATCCAGCAATTCTCATCATGACATTGGATGATAGCTCAAATACATATTTGCCTACAGGACGTAATTGGTAAAGGTCCCCTACAGCTACTACTGTTATACCACCAAAAGGTTGAGTTGAATCTTTAATTTGCTGCAATCTTTTGTCTATGTAATTGAATGTTCCAGAACTGACCATGGATATCTCGTCGATAATCAAGATTTTCAAATATGCCATTTGTACTCTTAATTTATTACAAGTTGAATCGGACAGCTTCTGGTAAGTGTCGTTCATCTTAGTTGGAAGTTGGAGAGCTGAATGAATTGTACAGCCATTTATATTAAAGGCAGCTGTTCCTGTTGGGGCTGTCAAAATAATCTTTGGTTTATCTGGTTCTGTGCCTACCTCCCTCAACTCTCGATTTGCCATGTTGAATATTGCAGATATTACATGAGACTTTCCAGTTCCAGCCCCACCTGTTATGAAGATGTGCTGTGGATCAATAACTTTAGAAATGTGACCTTTTTGCTGGTGACACCATCTCAAAAGGTACTCAAATGCACATCTCTGCTCAAAATTTAATGATTGCACTAAATGATAATATTCCGTGTTTGACAAAAGTTGTGGATCCACTTCCAGTACTGATTGAACATTTCCACCACAGGGTTCAGTAGAAGCTGTGAATGTTGCATTGACATTTGAATCTGGATTCACAATAGCATATGTATCATCAGATTCATAACCTTCCTCTACAAGCTGTGCCTCTACATGCTCAGTCTCGGGTGCAATCTCATCCCAGGCATGAGTAGGAGGACCAAAGTCTTGAAAATGGGACATAGCTTCAGTAACAATTTCATCGTTTTTCATCAGTCTTGCAAATGTGCTTTCAATTTCATTCTTTTCAGACTCGTAATGTTCGCTGAAAGTGTTGAATTTACCTTTTAGGTCACTCTGTTCATCAAACCAAGGCATGAAATGAAGCATGCGATTGTAGGAGTATAACTCTGGGTTTGCAGACTGAGAACACTGATGGTACCGGACCACTGCCTGTGAACAACGCTTTTTCATTTTTCCAAGACCCTCCAAGGTTATGAATTTTTCAAAGTTTTGTTCAGATTGACATGTTGTTTCATCCAATCCTAGATCAACTTGAATGGCTTCTTCTGCAACTGTGTCTGTTGGTAGGTGGTCATTGTCAGGTTGATTATCTCTCCTGCTGTTATCTGTATCATACCACATACCAAATTCAGCAAGACACATTTTTTTCAAAGATTTTGGTCTTGCTGAATATCTGTCCAAGATGTTGGTAGCAAAGACATCCTCATCATCATCATCTAAAGCATCCAACTGTTCCTTTCTCTTTAGGATTCTGATTCTGTTTTCAGGAAAACCACTAGGAAGCCATACAGTTGAGAAATTTGATTTGTACAGAGGAAGTCCCAAGATTCTATATGCTGCTTCTTGAGCAGAGACATTTCTAGCATTTGAAAATGCATATGCTACCTTCTTCATCTGTTCATTTATTCCATGATTCCTCATTTCACGGCTCACAGCTTGCAAAACAGTTCCAACTTCCCTCTCATCTTTAGTAATATAGCTAGTTATGTAAGCTATGGCTGCATATGGACTTGATGTATACTGAAGATCCATGTTAGCTTTCCACAGTCTTAGAATATGAGGGTTATAGTTGTTTATGCATGTTTCGGAGGGAGCACGACGCAGAAAGATGGTTGCTGTTTTAGATGAATTTTGTAATGCATTGTAATATTTGTCACTAGTTACATTACACTTTTGAAGAATTTCATTGACACTCATTGTATCAAGCTCAGACTCATGATCTTGCAGATATTGTTTCACAGTTCCAAGTGTCTCAATAGCAGAACGCTTACAATTTTTATCACATTCTTCAAGTTCTGGTCGAGACATTACTATTTGTTCAGACACTGGCCTTGGATATCCAAATCGACAAACCCCTCCACGTTTTGTGCATGTTGCAGTATGTCTGTGTGTCTGCAGATCCTTCACTAACTGGCTAAGATCGTTATCATCTGATGGAAGATTTGACTGGATATAGTTATCCACAAAGTCACAAATGTTTTTGCTTGAATCACTTGGTTGAGGTGCATTTTCTATCCAAAGAACACAATGAACATGGGGAGATCCCCTTTGCTGGAATTCTATGCGATAAAAATATCTTGTCACGATGCCAAGAGGACACGCTGGAGATAGTATTACATCTGTGAATAAACACTGGACTCTGTGATAAAAGTGGCGAGCTGCTGTGGTAGGATTTGATCTTAAAAGTGAACACCTTTCTTCCCAAGTCATTTGGGCCAGTTCTTCGGTACTAAGGTCCTTCCCTTGCTGTCTTGATATGGCTTTAAGTGAGTCCTCCCATTTCATGTCTGCTGCAGACAGTGTAAGGAACCAAGTAAATATCTTAAACTGTTTGATTGCAGCTAAAAGTTCAAACATTACTTTCTGCCAGTAAGGAGGACTTCCACGAATAGGGCGAAGAAAACGATAGGCATCATCTTTGGTGATCAACGGGCGAATATAATCTGAGTTTCTAAAGAATCCTGCATTGCAAGCTTCTCCATCATGATTACTCATTGATTTCCTCAATGCTACTGAGATTGAGGCATTGATCTCTTTCCATTCTGAAACAAACTGAGCAACAAAAAGGTACTCAATATTTGATGCAAATTTGCCATTTTTTTCAAGTAGTCTCTTTTGGAAATATTTCTTTGCTGACAATTTAACTTCTCTGTCACAAGTGTAACCAAATTGTCCAGTTGGAAACAGTGTCGGGAAGCTGAGTTCTTCAAAATTTGTATCTTGAAGTATAGAAAGAGGTTTTTTACCTTCTCCAGGTGCAATAGACATAATTCTGCTTGCATCAATGGATAAATCTGAAGGCTGTATGCAAGTCTCTAATTGAACATTTTGTGATTCATCTCTGGTTATTGGAACAATTTCCTCATCTTCCTGTTCACTCTCTGATGAAGAACCTGTGACTTCATTCTCTTCTTCCTCTTTGTTGATCTGATCTTCACACTCTGTTATATTGCCAGTCAATTCATTCCAAACTTCAATGTCATCATCTGCACAATCTTCTTCCCATGATTGATTTATGGTTACATTTTCATAAAGTTTGTTATTTGCTTTGAGCCACTGCAGAGCTTGTAAAATTCTCAGTGGTCTTACATATTGGAAAGAATAATGTCCCTTATATTCAACTTTCCTCTTTAATTTTAATGGAATAAATCCAGCATCTGAAGGAGTACGTGGCAAACTTTGTGCAACTGTCTGCACTTCCACAGGAATATTGACTACAGCACCCTTTACAGCATTTTGTCTGCCCTTGGGCAAAGCGATAAGTTTCATAAATGGGTAACGTTGTGAGAGTAGCCTTTCCTCCAATGTTGTAAGTCCCTGAAGCTCTTCTGGAATAGTTGGCAGTTTTAAATTGTTCGCATCAGACTGTGGTGGTAACTTATTTCGTTTTAAATGGTTCGAACAAGTTCTACAAAGCCATTCTGTATTCTCAGCACTTTTACAATTAGATATACACTGGCTCAACAAATTTTCATTCGTTCTTTCAAATGAATTTTTCTTGAAAGCTACTACTGATCTTTTGTAGAGCATTCTGCTACAACAGGTACAAATGAATTCTGGATATTGTTGAATATTTTTGCAAAAGTTTTTGTAGGCTTTTTTCAAATCATATTCATCTTTTCTATATTTTCGTTTTGCTTGTGCTTGATTTCTTCTTTCTGTTTCTAAGTCCTTATCTCTACGTTTTTTTCTCATTTTTTGTTGTTCTTGTCTACGTTTTGATTTTGCTGCCTCTGGATTATTATTTTTGTGTTTTTCTCTGATTCTTTGTTTTCCTTGTCTCCATTTCAGTAGTACCCCCTCTGGATTGTCATTTTTGTTTTTTTCTCTGACTTTTTGTTGTTCTTGCCTACGTTTTGATTTTGCAGCATCCGGATTGTCATTTTTGTGTTTTTTTCTGATTCTTTGCTTTCCTTGTCTCCATTTCAGTAGTACCCCCTCTGGATTGTCATTTTTGTTTTTTTCTCTGACTTTTTGTTGTTCTTGTCTACGTTTTGATTTTGCAGCATCCGGATTGTCATTTTTGTGTTTTTTTCTGATTCTTTGCTTTTCTTGTCTCCATTTCAGTAGTACCCCCTCTGGATTGTCATTTTTGTTTTTTTCTCGGACTTTTTGTTGTTCTTGTCTACGTTTTGATTTTGCAGCATCCGGATTGTCATTTTTGCACTTTTGTCTATTTTGTTGTTGTTCATGTCTCCATTTCATTTTCACTCTTTCTGGGTCCTCTTTTTTTTTCTTTTCTCTAAATTTTTGCTGTTCAATAGCACGTCTCTTTTTAAAATTTTGCAAATTTTCCATACTGTGTTTTTCCCTTGTCCTTCTTTTTTGTTGTGCCCACTTTTGTCTGGTTAAATCTTTAACATTTCTTAGTTGTTTTTGTTTGCAGTTGTTAACCTTGAAACTGCTCTTTTGTATGCAATCAAAGGTAGCATCTACTATAATTTCTTCATTTTGCATTGCCTTTTTTTTATTTGTCTTCTGAGCCTGGTCATGGAAATAATTTTCAATCAAGTTCAAATCACATCCTTTTTGAAGTGGGAATTCAGTTATAATGGCATTTTCTAAACACATTTTCAAATGTTTTCTTAAGGAACTTTGAAGATATGTGATTGTACACAGTGGTATTTTCTTCATAAGACTATAAGCATTTGCTGCAGCAAATGCACCACAATCTAGAGTTGAACCCTGTGTTTGATTCACGACATAGTTTATCTGCATGTTACAAATGTTCCCATACATACTAGTTAGTTGTTGCTGTAATGCTTGTACTCGGCTAGAATTCTTCAAAGAATCATACACAGTAATTGACTTTTCTTTTTTTGCACTGACAACATAATGACCCTGTAGGTAGTGAATTTGTACAGCATCAGCATCCCTTGGTACATGCTGGCAGTTAGCAGGTATTTCCTGTGACATCTGTTGTTGGTATAACATTGACGGTGGTAAAAGTCCATATTTGGCTCCAAATTGGGCTTTAAGAAGTTGTGAGTAGTAATCAAGGACTTGGACCTCAATATATCCTGATGAGATAGCTTCAAGATTCATTCCATGAAAAAGATAGGGGTGTTCATCTCTACTTGTGTTCGACTGAAATAAAGCAAAACTTATTTGAAATCAACATATTGTAATACAAATAAGATTCTTATCATTAGCAATGACTGTTTAATTTGTATAATCAGTCTGTCAGTCATGAACTTGAAAACTAATGTAGCTGACCAGATGGATCTATTTAAACAATTTCATAAAATATTAAAATTGATATCTTGTGACCCAGTTCTATAATGTGTATTTCAGTGTCAATGTATAGAGCAACCTCAATAATAATTCACAAACAGATGAACAGGCAGAGGTAAAAAGTAAACTTTGCAATGAAAATTTTGTTATCTATATAATGTAACTGAAACGGTAAATTGAATATTATGTACCTGCTCAGGTGTAAATGTATCCTGTACTTTATCATTTAGTTCCACCTGGGTGGTGCCCTCAGTGGTGCTGTATGAGGGTCTGTCCGAGTTAGGAGTATGCTGTAAATGAATACCAAGGTTATTATTCAATAACAAAATCATGACTTGCTGGTCACAGAGGTGTTGTGAAATAAAGTGATCATTATAGAGGCTAGCTATTACAATGGCTTGCTAAAAACAAGCTGCTTTAGCTATGACTATAGTTTTTTTTTATTTAATACAATTTGTCTGAAAAGAGATACTTGCAAGTTTTTGTTTTCGTAATTTATCCGACTCTCTTTTTTGTTGGTAGCTCTTTTTCTTTAATTTTGGCATCATGAATCAAATTCTAAAAAAGAAATCTTTACTTATAAAATATAACATCATAAAAAAAAGCAATATATTCACTTTTCTTGAAAGGGGGACATAATAAACAGAATTAAAATTACATGTAAATCAATGACAAATAAAGTACTAGTATAGCTAAATTCTAATAGTCAAAATAATGAAAAGTGTAGGTGATTAACTACATTCATTTATCTTCTGAAAAAAAAATTTGTAATAATGTATTTCACAAGCAAACATGTTCAAATTGAAGCCTCTATCTCAAGCAAATAGAGTGCCCCGTCACAGCATGATATGCCCTTCAAATATTGTTTAATACATGTAATCATAAATTGGGTAGGGTGCAAGAAAATCAGGTAACCTTGATTTACAGATTGACACAGATTTCAATGATCTAATTTCCATTTCTTATCATGTTTGAAATATTGTTAAACATTTCTCAGAGACTTACAGTGTATGGATTAATTATAACAAATAATACATCATATAATTATAAACTGGCTGTGTTAGAGCTTAATAAATATCAATCTGCAGCTTTAATTGTTTATTCCATATATTTTATGAAATAATTGAAATGCTACAGTCTAATAAAAAAAATCAAAAATAAATTATTTTTTAGACTATAAATTCTAAATGAGACATGACTGCAATTTTTTGCAAAATTAATATATAAAATTGAAATGTAATTTTTTTTTCAATGAACACGTGTATAATTAGTTTTAATTATACCATACAATACTAATTTAGTTTTAGTTATACACTAAAACATCAATTCATTTTAATTACATTACATCAACTGAAAGATCTTTATCTGGGCTACAGCCATCAAGAACTCTTAATTAACACAAGCAACTATGAGGCCATTTCTTTTTGCCCAACTCCCAAGAGATAAATTAATTAAGATAACAGCTCTTAGACTACCACTTAGCTTCTGATAATAAACTCATTAATTTCTTGTAATTTGACATGCAAATTTCTGCTATCAAAATTCTTCTTGACCAGTGCTTGATAATTATGTCCATGGGACAAACTGAATTCCTTTCAAAACATTAACATTTGTTACTGATTGCTGTAAAGCATATGATAAAAAAATAAGTTTTTACTTAATTTAACATTTTTTTATATTGATACAACTATATATTTACATTTTTTTAGGATTATGAAATTTAAAAGACTTATTTTTTAAAAAAATCACTTAAATTAAAGGTCACAGTGACAATGAAATAGGCCACAACACACCTTCTACCTTAGATGTACAAATGTATACTTTTGCCAAGTTTGAAAGCTCTAGGTCTAATAGTTTTTTATTTATGAGCCGGACAGGATTTTTCTATATTTGGCTATAGCATCTTTATTAAAGGTCAGGGCTACCTACTTTTTGTGCATGACACACCATCTACCCAAGAAGTACCAGTTGACAAAGTTTGACAATCATAGGCCTAATAGTATTCAAGTTATGAGCTAGACACGAATGGACAGACGGACGGCATGAAGCCTATAACATTGATAATATGTCCCATCTTAAGACAGGCATATAAAGTTATAAATGATAAACATACTGAATAGATGTTGAAAGATTCATGACATGTGTGATGCCAAATGAGTTCTAAGTTTACTTTTGGAACCATTTCCTCTAAGCTTACTGATAATCATCTGAGAGTAGGTTCTTTTTTATTTTCTAGGTTTCCTATCTCATAAAGCAATATGAGCTGTATCATTGAAAATTTTATTTTGATGGTAAAATGTGCTATTATGATTAATCTGTAAATAATTTAAACCCTTATGACTAATAAGCCCAAAATAAAGTTTAAAAATGTTTCAGAAATATTTCTGTACAACTGAACATACAGTTTTATATAAGAAAGCATTATTGTACAGGACGACAATAATTCGAATTTGCTTCAATCAAAGCTAAAAATAAATTTTCCATCGCAAATATGAACAACAGAAGTTTATAAATGATATATTTTTCTGTCATATAATTAGTTAATCACAAATTTGCAATAAAAATTTCCAATGTCAAACATGCAGCTCATATTGCTTTAATTGTTTCAATCTGTAATTTTCCTTGGCCAATTTTGCACCACATTTTCTTGCATTAGAGGCACCTGCCTATTAAGGCAATTGATGAAAATGATTTTTTTCATAAAAAATGTAATGTAATTATGGAAGGATATGCTTATCTGCAAAAGATGTGCACATTAAGAAATATGTATTTAATATGAGAGCTCAATGCTATCAATTTCAATTAAGAGGGCCACATCTCCAATTCATCTGCCTAAGTCCCAAGAGATTTGAATTAAACCTGCTTACTCTAAGAGGTTGGAGCTGAAATGATGAAGCAGTCTCTTAGGGATTCAAATTATTTCTTTGATGTTTCAGACGTCCAGATTCTTTCATAATTGTACATCAAATAAAGAAAACTAATCACATGGAAATGAATACAATTTACATACATACACAAACATATTTATATTTAATACTTGAAATATTTCATTGAGCTGGAGAGAAAAAAAAACATCAAAGAAAAAAAAATACAGTCCATTTGAAAAAAAAACAAAAAAGAAATAAAGTTATTTGATTATCAAATTTATTAGAAGTAAATACCTGTATAACATGAATTACATAAAAATATTGATCAAGGTTTTTATGAGGTCCATAAAGTTGACTAAAAAAAATTTCAATGATATTTCTTTGCTTGCATTACTTTCTTTTATAGTTTTTCATTACTTTTCACAAATTAAAGTTCCGTATTCTGAGTCGGAGGAATGGCATCCTGACTGGATGGAATCTCCTGACTTTCCTCAGCGGTTTCAAAAGGCTCACTATAAGAGGACAAGTCTAGCTGCATCTTTCCGATCTTCTCTTTCAAGCACTCATTTTCTTTTTTCACAAAGTCATAGTTCTTCTTCATTTGATATTTTGCCTTACACAGGTCAGCAACTCTTTTCCTAAGAACAGACTGATCTCTTTCCATGGCCTCTGCTATCTGTTCAATCTCCTCAGTTACCTGAAGTGAATCTTTCAGGGCTGTTTCTTTGCTGTAATTTCCAACACCTGATTGAAGTCTTGCGAATATGCCACTTATTTTGAGCGTAGATGACTTTATATTTTTAGCATCCATATTGACTCCTGAGAAAAGAATATTATAGTACTATTATATGATCCTTGTAATCAACAACAACAAGTAAATTCTATCTCTTTCATGCAAACTTATAATCATTTATATGTGTATTGAATTCTTCCATACCATATATTCATAAAAAGTACATTTATTACTCCTTTGTAACCTTAGCTCATTTTTTTATATATATCTTTACCTCGGTAAAAATACAATTTACAAAACTTAAATTCCTGGAAAATTTTTATATAAGGTGCATGTGTGAATTTGAATGCTTTTTCTTATTTAAAGTTATGTTATGTTCACCTTTTCTTTATTTTACAGAAATTAATAAACATTAATTTTACAAATAACATTCTCATATTTGTAATAATGATAAAAGTTATATCCAAAACGGGTAGGGCTGGGTTTTGGCCGGAGATTTTTTACTGCAATATATATTAAATGCAAAATTTTTAAATGTACATGTTTTTTGATATGTATTGCAATATTTTCAACAAAAATTTTAAATTGCATTTTCTTATTCATGCAGAATGTACAAATGTCAGTAGTTATAATTAGAAATCAAAATGAAAAAATCTTGTTGATTTAATTAGAGTTATGCACTTAAATCATTAATACAACAACTTCTGTCTTACAGTTTGGCTAAATCACAAACCTTTCTTTACACTTAATGGTAGAATTGCTGAGTCCAAAAATTTTGCAGTTATATCTGTACATGTTTCACAAAAGCGTTATACATTTAATAATTTTTTTAATTGTATTTCAATATACCAAGATATCAATATTTTATCCCAGCCCTAGCCATACCTTATTTTTAACCTTTTTGTAATTAAAAATACAGTGGAGCCTCATTTATCCAGACACTTTGGTTCTGAGTCAATTTTTTCGGATATGTGAAGCGTCCGGATACCTGAATTTGTTAAATTAGACAAAATAACTTTAAAAAAATTCTTTTCCGATGAAAAATCGTCCAGAAACTGAAGCTTCCGGATATCTGCTTCCATGCAGATATCTGAAGGTCCACTGTATTCTACATGCAATAGTAGTAATTACTAAGAATTATCAAACATCCTACCTTCAGTTTCTTGTTTTATATAATCCTACAGGTCTACAGCAGATAAGCTTCTTCTTCGATATGCAGTCACAGAACAAAATAACACGATATTTCTTAAAAGTTTATAATACTGTAGTTTCTCTGTCAAATCATATGGATCCCAAAGCATATATATATCATATAGCTTGACTTTAAATGACCATACTGATTTCCTAACACTCTTTCAAGTTTGATACATAAATACTTTGATAACATCTTAATTGACATGCATCAGCTGGGGAACTGAGACTGAAGCAGCTCTCAGGTCTTGTGTGATAATAATCTGTCAATGTCTTAGAGCAGTACCAACTTGCTTCAAAGAAAACTAATGTAAATTTATCTTAACTTTATGAAGTCAGTAATTTGATCAGATTTTAGAAAAGGACCAATTTGCTTTACTGAAAATCTATGTACTTTTATAAGGTTTATTATGAAGAGATAGTTACCCAGCATACATGTATTAATTATTTTTAAATACTTAAACCAAACAGGGGAAAAAAATTATAATACATCACTAGCACAGCTAGCATATTAATTCTATTACACATAACTGAGTATTCTATAGAGTGTAAACAACATATTTAAAAAAAATCGGCATTGTCTAAAAAGCTTTTAATTAAAGTTATTTTTACAGATAAATGTAATGTGCTTGCATTCACCAGACCTCAAGCCAATTTAACTTTAACTCATCATTCTAAACCAAATTCATATAGTTACATCACATAATTTTTGATTGTTTTTTAATCAAATAAATTAAAACATCGACTATCATTAAAGTAAATTATAGCTTTTACTCACCATGTCATACTAATTTTATCCTCTTCTTTTTCATTTCTTCCCATTTGTCCTTTTTGCTCATCTAAACACTTCTTTGCTTTGTTTCAACATAATCCATGTGTGTGTATAAATACATGTAACAGGTGTGAAATTCCCCAAACTTTCTTCATCAAGGATCCATCATCAAACCATCTTGGGAATCATGGTCTTTTCTCACCAAAATATTATCATTATTTATTGCTCCTATGGGTATCTTGAACATTAATACAGGGTGCATGTATTGACATGAAAAAACTATTTTTCTAAATGCTAGATTGTATTTGTTGTTGCTAATGAGAATTTCTTCATTTTCTTTGCATGTGCTTAATTAATTAAAAGATAAATTATTTTCAGAGCCTTTTTGTCTTTAAATTCATTACATTGTTTTTATTACATTGAAAAAATGAATCTGAGGTATCTGTCTTTGTGATACACCATACTGCAAATTGACTGTTGAACTGCAAATTGTATATTGATAAAAAATATATACAAGTTGTAAAAAATTTAATTTATCTTACAAACTATCACATTCTTTTTAAAAATAAAAGGCTGGTAAATAATTGATTTGACAGGCAATAAATTACAATTAAGAGAATTAAAGAAGAGAGATCTTTCCTTCTTTTATCAAATTCCCAGGAGATCTAAGTAACTAGCACCTCATGTTTGATAGAAATGCCTTAACAACTTCCCACACCAAACTCATTAATCTTTAACTGGATACATGTCCACTCATATCTCTCAAAGGACAAATGGATAGATTTTTCACTATTTTCTGTGTAAACTGATTTTATTACTTGATGTTTTTTTTCAAGATGCAATTAATTGGACAATAATCAAAATTTGGCAAATTCACAGAAATTCATAGAAAATAACACCTTCAAATTGCTACCATGATAAAAAAAAATAAATAAATAAATAATGATACGAAGCTACAGGATGCATGCAAATACCATAAATCCATTTTTAAAAAACTTACCATTAACATATTGTAAACTTGTATCCCAGGTACATTTTCAGAAACATATTTCTCAAAAAACGCTCGATCGTACCCTAAACAAAACTTGGCCTTATAGCCAAATATGTACACCAATTTTTCTAGTGGTGGACTGAAAGACAGACCAACCAACCAAGGTGTAGATGACCTGATATCCTTATAAAAAATGTGTATACTAAATTTCATTTCAGTATGTGCATCCTCTGCAAACAAAATGAATAGAAACTGCAAATAATTGGAATTTTCCTAAGTCCAAGGGGCATAACTCTGTGAAAAATGGTGCGATCGTACCCAAAACAGAACTTGATCTAAACATTCATCTGATAAATCTGTATACTAAATTTCCTTTCAGTATGTGCAACCTCTGTAAAGAAAATGAACGGAAACTGCAAAAAATTGGAATTTTTCCAAGTCCAAGGGGCATAACTCTGTGAAAAATGGTGCGATCATACCCAAAACAGAACTTGACCTAGATATTAATGTGATAAATCTGTATACCAAATTTCATTTCAGTATGTGCAACGGTTGCGAAGAAAATGAACGGAAACTAAATGGACCGACAGACCGACGGACCGACAGACCGACAGACCGACAGACAGCA